GGGGTAATAGCAAGGACAGAAGGAGTGCTCCAACCCTGGCGAAAATCTCTTCTTTTTTATTCTTGAGCTTTCAAGTCCTTGAAAAGATTAAACAGCGGTGAATGTTCGGCACGTCACGTAGGCCCTTACTTCAACAGTTTAGATGGTAAACATGTTCCCGTTCCTAGCCCCGTGGTCAGCCCCTTTTTACGGTTTCAAGGTAGTATCCAAATTCCTTTCTTTATCCTCGCAATGTTACCCAGGGCACCCGAACATAGCCGAGATCATGAGAATAGATAAGGAAAGTTTGCAAAAATTCTGTAATTCAGATAAAACTTTCTAGTATAATACTTTTTCTTTTTCAAAAACCTGTTTCTTTACAGTTTCAAAAGTTTTTTTTTTTTTTTTATCATAGTCACAAGTTGCTGAAATATCTGACTTAGCCAGATACCGAAGAATTGGTACTTTGAAGGGAAAAGGAAGAGAAAATTTTAAATATTAATGTAATAACTAAGTGAAAACACCAGTAAGTATAAACATAAAAGTCCAAATTAAAAATTAGTAAACATCGAGGGCACTAACCACAATTAACAAAACTAAACAAACAGAAAATAAAACTAAAGTGTAAAACCAAACAAAACTGAAAATATGAATTAAGTTTTCATAAAAACAAATTAAAGTTAATAAGTTTTCTCCTCGAAAGTTATTAAAGGCTTAATCATTATCAATTACTTATTAAGTAAGTAAGAGGCAAGTACAACTTATATCACTAAAATCGGTAACTTTAAAAAAATCTTGAGAACAACCGATAATAGTAATGTAAGTAAAAAAATAATGCACTTTCAATTAGAATCTAAAACAAGTTACCCACTCAATTTTAAATTAGAAGCAAAGGAGTTACACAACAAATCGAGGATTTGGAAGGTTCGACGAAATCCTAATTCGGAGTAGTGTAAGTCTGTCGTCTAACAGTGTTGCTTGCCTGCCAGAATCCAAACGGAATGGACGTGGACAGACGCAGTAGACGGAAATCCTGACTTTGCTAAGATTGCTAAGTGCTGAAAGAAGTTGTGCTTTGTATCTCCGAATTAAAGTAGCATCTAACTTATACAGTGATGGATACTTAGATGGCATATAAGTTTCAAGAAATTTTAACAGTTTTTTATTCATTATTAGTAGCCTAAACTAAAATAGAATTTCATGAATCCATCTATTAGATATTTGAAAAGCATTTATGAGGCGTTGCCAGGTTGCTAAGAAATAATAGAACATACCAAAAAAGCATGATTAGCACGTTAATGAAATTTTATCTCAAACTGATATGGCGATATCAGTCAATAAACATAACGACTGTTTTAAAAGTTTAAACAAAAGTAATATTACGAAAAAACTGAGAAGTGTAAAACATAGAGGAACGTAAAGTATTTAAATATTAGCGAAAAAAGAAAAATATGACATCTGACAATTTAGTTTCGAGATATTATCAGATACAGGTTAGAAGTTAATTGATTGTTGAGTTGAAAACAAGTTCGATTCAAATTCTATTCTCGACCTGATAATATTTTCAAAGCTGAATGAACAGTTAAACTTTTAGTGTTCTTCGTCCTTTTCCCTCTTTTTCGTTGCTTTCTATTCTAAAAGTATACAAATTTGCTTGCAATTTAAAACGATGTGGTGCTTATTAGATATAAATGTCAGCGGTTTCTACTGATTAACAGCAAGCTACATATGAAGAAATTCTATTTGTGATCCTTATGCTTATAAAACGTTCATCATACAATTGAGGTTTGTAAGTCATTTCTCCCGCTTTCCAAGCGTGCTTCGTGGTTTAGTGGTTCTGCACACTGGGCCGGTATTCCAGAGGTCCGTGGTTTGATTCCCGGCGAAGGCGGTTGCATATTTTTCATCTTTTCTGCTTCCAATTAACCTAATGACTCTAAAAGTGGCGCCCGAACTAAAAAGGGTTGTGGGTGATGATTCTCCACACCCAGGATTTGGCGACTACGTCCCCAAAAAACCCTAGTCGTCCTTTAAAAAGGGGAGTATGTAAGGTATTTCTCCCGCTTTCTAAGCGTCCTTCGTGGTGCAGTGGTTCTGCACACTGGGCCGGTATTCCAGAGGTCCGCAGTTCGATTCCTGGCGAAGGCATTGTTCATTTTTCATTTTTCCTGCTTTAAAAAAAATCCTAATGACTCTACAGGTTAAGCAATAAGAAAAATACATGCCGTGGCATGCAGTGACTACCGACTAAGAGATAGAAGGGATCTACTATATCTTACTGCATTTATCCACGATAAATTTCAACACAAGTATAAAAAGAGTGTGAAGGTCATCCAGTCACGGAGTGGATTACAGTGAAATTACATTACAGTAAAACTAATCAGTAAAATCAAATCACTCGAGTTTCATAAATACAAATTACACAGATAATCTTCTTGCAGTTTCACCTGGAGTGAGTACCTGTCCAGGGTGAGTAGGTCCGCGTTCGAAACTATGTTGTAACGATCTGATTTCACTGTCATTCAGAATCCAGCCTGGTACAAATAAAGTTTCGAACATGCAACTAAATCATAAATTTTCTGAAATGAAAAGATAGCTTTCAGATGTAAATTTTAAATAAAAAGAATCTGAGTAAATATTAAAAAAATTTAAAGCTCCAATGCATGAAAATTGTTCATATATATCAATATAGCTGTGTTCTTTTAGCTATTGATTGCAAAGCAAAAAACTATATCTGAATTCATATATTATTTCTCTACTCCTATTCGATGGAAAGAGTTTAAAAGGTAAATAAATAAGCATAATCTATTGTACGTGATACAGAAACCGAAATGGAGAAAATCTATAATTTTGAAGTTACTGCTCTGGCCGCTGAGGGCATTACAATCGCTGAAAGGGCAATGAGCCTCTAAGTGAACATAATTTGTCGTTTGTCTTCACGGTAGGAAGAAAATTAAGTTACCTTCAAAACAAAATGGTTTTGTTTTTCAGTAAAAGAAGGAAATACATTTTCTGCGTCTCAAGCTTTTTTTTTTACAAAAAAGGAAGGATATTTCTTAAAATTTATACGAAGAACATTATTGCAGAAATATTGCCAAATTTATTCTTAATATAATGAAACAAAATTTTATTAATATCTCATGGAATATGCAGATTTTACTCCTTGAAGTTCTATAACTGCTTTATGAATTTAAAATAAATTTTAAAAATGTAAATCTTTGTTAAAAGTAACAGATGTTATACAAACCATAACAATAAAAGTAATAAGAATGACTTTTTTTTTTATTTCTCATTTTGATAACTCAGCGAAGTTGATTTACTTAAATATTGTTTCAAGAATAGCTACAGAAATAATGAAAGAATAATCATCTGAAACACTATTTCTGAAATTGAGATAATAAGAATAATGTTTGTTAACTTCATTAACACTATAATTAAAAATCGAACAAGTACATTTAACGAGTGTTACATATATCGATACAATACAACTCTTGTTTTTGTCTTGAAATTAGTGTGATTATATAATTCTGTATAGCAAACAGGAAATGAAAATGAATATTTTATCTTCATCATCAAAATGACAAATAGACGAAACTTCAATGAATTTTTTATAGTTATGAGAAGGTCTTCATTGCTTGTCGTTAGTAAGTTGATAGAACGAAATACAACCTGTTCGATGTGATGCCAATTTAACACAGTGATTAGTCAAGTTCACTCTTTGTTTGTCTTTATATTAAGGGAAATAAATTTCATTTTTAAAGACAAATAATTGATCACTACTCTTCTAGATGAAATTATATTTTAAAATTTTGTAGTTCAAAAACAAAAAGCAGTTGTTTTAAATAGTAATTGAAATATGAAATTATGTTTCCATTATTCTTCGCTTAATTTTTCTTATCAAAAGAAGAGTATTAAATTTTCATTGTATTTAAGGAGAAAAATTTAACATATGCATCGGATAAAGAAAGGTCATTCCTTTTCTATCTTGAAAAGAAGTGAAATGGGCCAGAAAAAATTCTACCAGTCATTTACTTTGGTCTCTATTCAAGAGAAAACGAATCACTATACTATTAAAATTAATTTGAAATATATAAAAAAATTAAAAATATATTTAGCTCTATTGAAACACCTTTAATCAAAATTTAATTTAAATATACATTACGAATAAATGTCAGCAAAGGTAATTCTCAACATACACACAGCTTTCATACAGCTGTTTAATATGTCTATATAAACTAACTCAGCCTCTCTATTTGCATAAATATTTAAACTATCTACACTGTAGATAACCTTAAAAGTCGTCAATTTAGGTTATATGATTATCAAGATTATTCCTGCTAATAAATTTTAGTTGAATACATTTATGATCACTATATGTCTTCTACATTAATATTGAACATTGAAAAATGAACTATCCGCTTTGTAAATGATACCAAAGGATGGTATAAACTTTATTTTAAAACTTTAAGTATCAATGAAAGATTAAAATATACGTAATGAACCAAAAAAGAGATGTCACGAATCTTATAAATATGAATAGGATATTCATTTGTAAAATCTCAAAATCAAGGAAATGAAAATGGAAAACCCTTCAATTTTGTAAAATTTGCAAAACTAGGGTTTATTCAAAGTTCATATACAAGTATAAGCCTAAGTATGGTAAATTTGGTAAGTAAGTTAAGTAAGTGTAGTAAAGAATGCAGGGCACTGATAATTTGATTCATTTTGGATTCCCGGCTAATGGGCTTCAGCACAAATACTTTTTTTATTTTCTCCTGCATACGACGTGAATACGAACAGGTTTCTCCTGTAAAGTTAATACTTTACGATATTACGAGATACGAAGGTATCTCGTCCTTTAAGCAGAAGTCTCTCGTGTGCTTTGTGATATTCATTTAAACAACAACAACTTCAAAAACGTTTGTTGATCATTTAGAAATGGTTCCTTTTGCCGAAAGCACTCGGATTTATTCAAACTTCTACTTATATCTAATAAATGTTAGTTGTTAATATTTACTTACCAACTGAATCCGAAACCGAATGTACGTTAAATAGGCTCGCCGTAAAAAGAACAAGATATACTGCCTGCAAAATAAAATACAATGTATTAAAAGAAAATCTTCCTCAACGAAAATTTGAACAAATAATAAGAAGAGACATATAAAGTAAGATGTCAAACTAAAACAGTGAGAACAAATCATTTCAAATAAATATGAAAACAGAAGCAACAGAAATAAAAGGTACCAAATGAAAGGTAAAACACAAGCAACTGAAAGGAAGCATATTTAGATGAACAATAAATGAGCAAAATATAATAAGCTAATAGAAAAACATAACCAGAGGAAAGAAAATACTAAACATGAAAACAAGTGTTCGAAAACACAAAGAATAAAACTTAAACTACAAACAACGAAGTAGAAGAATATCGAGATAAAACAAAATATAAACAATGGAAAGAATAGCATAAAATAAAGATTAAAATAAAATGGTAAGAAAATAAAAATAAAACACAAAGTAGCTGCAAAAGAAATTCATTAAATGCATGTAACAACTGTATGAAGGGAGAAGTTATGTTGTGCATTAAATTTAACTGCTATTTCAAAGTTCTATAAAATAAGTGGTATGTAAAGTAATTGTTTAAGTCTAAAATGCATAATGCTTAAAATACTTAAATTAATACAAGAAGGAAGTACTATCTACCTTGTTTAATTAATTTAACTCGCTAAACGTTAACAGGAAATTTCGGTACTTATGTTTTATCCCAAAGACCATGGCTACCATCAAACTGTAAAAGTTGGCAGAGATCCCGCCAAAGTTGAGCTAATCGTTCATGTGGAATACTGAGGCACACTTCCACCTGCAACTGTTATAATAAGGTATCTTCAGTCTCTGCACTACCAGCCAAAGAACCACTGCTGTTAAAGTATTCGACCTGCTTCTTTGTTTTACGTACGTGAAAATTCTTTATTTTGAACTGTTTCCTATTAGGTGATTTTTCTGTCGTTATCACCTTTTCGAGCAAGTTCCATGAGAATTCTATCTTCTAACAAACAGACAAATAATTATTTGTTGTTATTCCATAAATTACTTTATTTGCGTGCTGCTGAACAGGGTTAGATTCAGAAAGATAAATCTACTTTACATTATTTTAAGTAATAATAATACCAAAAATATAATATATTCCTTAATAAACTATTTTAGTAGATATTTAATTTTGTGGTCTACGTGGTATTAAAAAATTCTTCGTATTTTAATTCTGGTTCTCGGAACCTCTAACGGAAATGCTTGAGTTCCGTGGGACACAGTTTTGAAGAACACTGACCTACATCAGCATCAAAGATGATCTAAATCCAGCTCACGTTCTGTGTTAGAGAGTAAAAATTTCCTACTGACACTCAAACATCCTTAGCCTTCCTGCCTGATCCTGTTATCAAAGCGGATCCTGTAAGGCGTTACGTAATCGTACGTAGTGCCAGAAATATGATTTTTCAACACCGCTCTCTGTTTCACTGAGTAAGTCAAGACACCATAAATGTAGTGCCATTTCACTGACAGTCTTGATTAAGGTTACTATACCCCAAGGTCACTCCTGTATGACGTCACTGACTTCTAGTGTGCTCAAAAGCAACATCCTGAGTCGGTTTGTGTCTTCTTTTCCCCCAACGTCAGTAGACAGACAACGTTATGCTCTTTCAAGGCGAAGCTTTTCCTTTTCTGACGCTCCAGACATTGAAGTACCTTTCTTGTCTGTTCAGTGATGTCTCTTTAGTCACAGAAGTGGGAGAAACAAAGTCAGAAGGAAGAGAGACTTAGGAGTTAAGGATGCTGACGTTATGAAATCTTATGACCCCCCCCCCGAAAAAAAACCACTCATTAATGTAGCCCAACACACGAGGGATCTAGCACGTCCTGGCAAATTATCAATTATGGTTACAAATGTGGACACCGCACAGCCTTGGCAGACATAGAAACAGTAATGTTTATTTAACCTGGCTTCATATTGTTGTTGTGATATCGGCAACATTACTCAATCTTTCAACCTAAAATACTCTGCATAAAGTTTAAGCTTAGCGACATGTGGTTTAGGTTTCCTAAAATTCCTAACTGAAAAGGCAACTGTGCAGAAAAATTTCCGTCAGATTACCATGGGAAAAAAGCCACACTTTAAATGCTCAAGAGTAAGTTAAAAACAATCAGTTTCATGCTTTTTAAGTGTTTATGAAATTCTATGAAAATAATAGTTCAGTAATAACGGCTCAAATATAAAAAACAAAAATACAGAGACAGAAGAGTAATCCGATTCTAAATGAGCGAAACATTTCCAAATCTTTTCAAGCAGCCTGTGTAACTTTTGGGAAGTTTCAACATAAAAATACATCAATGGCGCAAGAGTTAGACAGTCATTCACTTTGACAAAAGCGAGAAATTAGAAATTAACATACAATTACTGTATTAGAGTATTGAAGTAAAAATAGCTCTCCGGAAACTCGTTCCTAATTAGACGGCTCCTGAATTACAGTTTTTAATCTTTACGATTGCTGACCATGCAAAGGTAATAAATTCGTGTGTGCATTATCCTCACAATTTGCAATGCAAAGGCCGACGAGCCTTTACGAGGTGCGCTACGAGGTCGAACTGTTACTAGGTGTGAGACGGCATGCTCTGACATTACAAAATCAACAACGTGTTCAGTAATGGCTCCACTTGACATCATAAAAGTCTTAACTTATTCTTATGTGCATCATTCTTATGAAAACCCATTCTTATGTAGATAGGTCCTCATTTATAATTTTTCGTCTTTACGATGATTAAAAATTGCTCTTCGATTTTTATATTATATATAAATTTTTGGGTTCGCATTATGCCATTAGGCAGATATAAGGTATTCTGGCATGGTGAAAAATCCACAACGAAAATCGTAGCTGTAGAGTGTACGTTTTGTGTCGTCCTGAAGAGGAATGTGCTTTTAAAATCATCTGAAAATATCGATGCTTCAGTGTATTCTACCAATCATGTAGAATCTTACTAAGAGATAGTGAAATTACGGGATTATCTTGTCTGTTGTAGCGTTCTCAATGTTTGTCAAATAATTTAAATTCACAGCTTAAAAATTCTTTAGACCAGGTGCATTTCAGATGTGATACTATTGGCGGAAATCTAAACAGTCGTCTAGTTTCCACTGTCAACACAGTATTCAATAAGTTGTATGCATTATTCAAAATCTTATAACAAAACAGGCATAGAGCTAGATGACTTTCTTAAGCTATAGTTTAATAAGTCCATTGAACAAATTTAAGTAAAACCAGACGAAGCTATGATATCCGGATGCTATGATCTGGACGAAGCTATTATCTGGACGTAATTCCATGGCAAGTCGGGAACAGATTATATATTAACAGCCATTAAAATTAGAAGACATGTTGAAACATAACCCCATGGTAAACTTTAAATACTTAAAATTCTCATGCTCTGTACTGGGACTTTAATAAAGTTTCTCTCCATATTATGTGGAATTAAGCCCTAAGAACTGCAATTCAAAGACATCTTAGAGTTATGGGCATCTTAGCTAAGGAGAGTAGAAGCACTGTGATGACTTATGACCGAAGTTCAAAATACAATACAAAAGCGTTTTGCTGTGTGGAATTCCTCAAGCAAATCCCATCGGATATTACTTCCCGCCGCTCCACAAATTTTTAGGATTTCAAAAGTACACATTTCCTCCTCTTCCTTCTCTCCCATCTAAAGCAAGACAGAAGAAAGGTAGTTGTTTATAACCTTGTAGTAAGCCTTCCCTTTCAGTTACCCATTCGTCAACCTAATGACCGTTTATCTCGAGAAGAGACTTCAAATAACCGATGAGTTAAGGAAGAAATTGGAATCGTCTTTATGGAGGTTAAAATGCTTCACACAAGCCGTTAGGAATAAGTAAAATCTTATCTTTGTCATTTCAGTGACATTAGTGGCAATAATTCTGAGTAATTGCGAATGCATTTTACGTTAATAGAAAACAAATACGGTAGTACTGCGATAAGCATTGATTCTCTATGGATTTCGTTATGCACTATTTACCGCAATCCTTTTTTTAAATCTAGAAGACTAACCACTCTTTTCAATTAGCGATAAAATGATGTTCATTGATTCTCTATGGTAGGATTTCGCTTTTCACTATTTACCGCAATCCTTTTTTTAAATCTAGAAGACTAACCACTGTTTTCAATTAGCGATAAAATGATGTCCATTTAAAATAAATATCAGAAACTAACAATAAGTTTTCGCCAGTTGACGGTAAGGTCTTTTATTTTTGTCTTCGATATTGTGAAAGGTAACTGTATAAGGTATTTCTCCCACTTCCCTAGCGTGTCTTCGGGATGTAACGGTAGCATGCTGGGCCGGTATTCCAGAGGTCTCTGGTTCGATTCCCGGCGAAGGTGGTAACCAACTTTTCATCTTTTCTGCTTCCAATTAACTTAATGACGCTACAAGTGGCGCCCGAACTAAAAAACGGGTTGTGGATGATGATTCTCTGCACCTAGAATTTGGCGACTAGGTCCCCTAAAATCCTAGTCGCACTTTAAAAAGGGGAGTATATAAGGTATTTCTCCCACTTCCCTAGCGTGCCTTCGTGGTGTAACGGCAGCACGCTGGGCCGGTATTTCAGAGGTCCGTGGTTCGATTCCCGGCGAAGGCGGTTGCTAAGTTTTCATTTCCTTTGCTTCCAAAAATCCTAATGACTCTACAACTGCTTATCAGCACAAGAAAGTCAATAATTTAATACACTATTTCATATGTGCTTAGAAATATTTTACTCCATGCATGGTACAAATAAAACACATTTCTAGTACTTATAATATCGATTGCAAGATTCCTTACTTTTCTTATTCTGTGACTTATTAGTTATGTTCATCCAAAATAAAACTGAATGGGGAGGTGAAAATTTTGTAATAATACACTAATTGAAATTCTATCGATGTATTTCTCTCTCTAATAACACATAATTTTTTCCTTATTTTATTTGAATTTCCTATTTGTATCATATGTGTATCTCTCTCTCTCTTTATATATATATATATAAGATATAAAATATGAAG